AAAAAATAAAATAAATATAAAATTAAACAAATAAATATAAGTAAATGACATCTAAAAATATTTATGAGAAGCTAGATGGACTGGATAGAAACTGACTGCACTTGTGGGAAGAGATGGTAGAGAAGCTCAGTATCAGCAGCTAAAATGAAGCTCAGGGCCAGCTGGAACAGCACATCAATCGTTCATTTATAAGCTCAGGTGAGAGCTGAAGAAAAAAGTCCTTGATAGCCAGTACACAACCTTGAGAATATTCCACCTGAATTTCAAAATTATCTCAATAACAGATTTGAAGCATTGTACTCTGACAGCAGAAGACCAGATGAGCTGTGGGAAGACATCAAGCACATCCTATATAAAAACACAAAATCAAAATGAAACTCACTGCCACTGAGTCACTACAGTCTCATAGAGACCCTAAAGGGCAGGGCAGAACTGCCTCTGTGAGCTTCTGAAGCTGTAATGTTTCAGGATGGAAACCTTGGTTGCTGCCAGAGCCCTGGAGATGTATCCACCACCATTCCATCCACAGCACTTTGCACCCACTATCCTGTGATATTCCTGTGTTCTGCATCATTACATGTGGCTTCCTAAGTCTGAAGAGGGACTTATGGATTAGTATCTTACTTATGGACTTGAGCTGGCCTGGGCTGGGATGTTTACTTGATATACAATTACGCATTCATATAAAGCTCTTTCTACATATACATGTGTGTCACTGGAGCTGTTTCTCTAGTCCACTCAGCCGAATACATATGGACTATCAAATTTCATTAGAAATTACTTGTGAATGTAATGTGAACGTTGGTAACAAGAATCAGTAGCTGACAAACACAACCTTGGGGTAGAAGGATTCTATAGATTTCCTGAGGAAAATGAACAACAAAGGCATTCAGGCAGTGATGTTAATTTGGAGGATTCAGAGTACATGGGTTCCTCACAAACAAAACTCAGAGAAGTGGAAGAGGCTCAAATAACCCATTTTTTAAAAACCGTTTTATTAGGGGTTCATCCAACTCTTATCACAATCCATACCTACATCAATTGTGTAAAGCACATTTGTACATATCCCATTCTTCTTTACTTAATTTCTAGAGGGAAAATGACTTCTGGGTGTAGTAGGAATCATTGAAATAATTGGTATAACTGTGACTTTACACCTGAAAGTTTTTCTCTTTTGTCACTGATGTCCCCTGTTAATTTCTAGTGGGGTTTGTCTTCCTGGATTATTGCTGTGACATATAAATGCGAGAACCAAGAGACCAGGGGACTTCACTTAAACAGGGATCCTCCTGTCCTTTTATCTTTTATAATCTACCTATTTCTGTAATCTGGCCATGATGACCCAGAAATTAGGGCCCTCTTGGTGCCCACCCTACAATTTTTTTTTCCGGGGAGGGGGTGGTGGAGAGCAGGTGTGTGATATATATGGCAGACAAAAAGCTATCACCTTTTATCATACTCAGAAACCAATTTTTTTCTTTTGCAAAATCTGCAATTAGTTTGAGTAAAATGAGTGCCACCTGAAATGTAAGTTTTTTGCCCCTTGCAGTGGTACAGCCAATTCAGCCTCTCCCAGTCATAGGAAGAAAGAAGAGTTTTGATTTAGAAGGTATCCCAGTGAGGAGACCACAGTAGTGCAAAACAGAATGTCTGTCGTGTCATGTTTGAAATCAATATGCGTACAAAACTCATACTATTGCTTTGAAATGTACACTTTGAGGAGTCATCTATAGATATTTTACATTAACTCAGGTTTCAGAGTAACCATGGGAACCGTCTGTTGCCCACTAACAAAGATACAGAACAATGGCATATGAATCAATTCCAACTCCTAGGGGCACTGTAGGGTCTGGATTGTAAATCTTTAGAAGGCAGAATCTTTAATCATTCTCTCGAGAAGCTGAATTTCAGGCGGTCAATGCCCTACCCACCATGCTGCTAGGGTTTCTATATGCTCATAGCAATTAAACCAAACCAAACCAATCTAGTACTGTTTTAGATTCCACGGGGGTGACTCTGATTCACTGTGACCCATTGTGCACAGAGTAGACCTGCGTTTCTATTTTCAAGGCTGAGACTTTTAAGAAGTCATTCACTACGCCTGACTTCCAAGGCATTCTGGGTGAGTTTGAATCACCAGTCATTTGGTTAGCAGTGCAGTGCCTAAGAACATCTCCCAAGCTCCCAGGTCTCTTTCATCACTAAAGGATGTAACCTCTTTCTACCCCACAGCTGATTTTGCCCCTTCACGGTGTATTATTATCCGATGTCATATCCTTCTGTCCTCACAAAGTGCCCTTTGTTCCTTACCCCATTCTAAATCTTCTTCTGGACCCCCAGCATGGTTAACAAAGTGTGCCAAGCAGGCAGGTCTCCAGATAATGTTAGAAAATTTCTACTCAGAGCCTTTGTTGAAAACTAAGCGTAGTGCACCACCTAGCCTAGGCCCTCAGGAGCCAGTCACCAAGGCAGGCTACCCTGCACTTCCCAAGGAGTCAGACCTTCCCCTGCCTTGTTAAATCCTGGCAGGAAGCAAGTGCCCCATTTACACCTGCAGAATCAAAAGACCAAGCTTTGTCTTGTCTACACAGCCATAGTGAGTCTCCTCAAAATGTCCCCTTTAGGTCTTGAAAGAGGTACCGCCCAGGAACCAATGACCAACCCTCTTTAGTTTTGTCCCTTACCCCATTCCCTCCTGCCTCCCAAAGTTAGGAAAAGATTAATGCTTATCTTATGCTCTGTAAACCACTTGCTAAAAGGAATGCCGAGGCCTCAACCCTCCCTGCTTACCCACTGAAAGTAATGTAATACCCTCCTGATTGCCAAACCAGTTTGGGTTTTTGTCCTTATAAACCCAGCCTGAATATCATTTGGGGCTTAAGGGAATTTCTGAGAGACTTGAATCCTCCCAATGGCCCCCAGCTAAAATAAAGACCCCAAATCTGGACATAAATGGCATTATAGTGGTTATTCATTTCTCACGACACACAACATATCCAAAATATTTAAGACAAGTCTTGCCACCCTTTCCTCAAAAGAGCATTCTGGTCATATTTCTTCCAAGATAGATCTGTTTGTTGGCCAGGAGCCATAGAGACACAATACACCACAGAACAACACTGTTGCACGGCAAAGATAGACTGTCAGACATAATGGAGGAGGCACACTCAGCAAAGGCAAGATAGACAATTTGGACATGCTGAAACTACATCACTTATGCACACCAAAAGACTGCAACATGAGAAAGCCCACAGACTGGGAAACAATTTTTACCAATGACACATCGGACAAAGGGCTAATTATGAAAAAAACTACATCTCAATAAGAAAATAACAAGAAACACAATCAAGAAATGGGAAAAAGATATAAACAGTTCACCAAAAGTGAAGTACAGCTGAGTAACACATGAACAAATGCTCACAATCACTAGCCCTCAGGGAGATGCAAATTAAAACCACAATGATATACCATTTTACTCCCACAATGCCAGCCCAAATCAAAGAAACAGAAAACAACAAATGCTGGAGAGGACATGGATCAATTGTAACACAGATATACTGCTGGTGGACATATAAATACATACAGCCACTGTGGAAAACAATAGGGGGTTACTTAAGCAAGCAGAAATTGAAATCCCATATGATCCAGCAATACCACTACTAGGCATCATGGATTTCATATACACAGAAATATATATATAAAAAATCAATTACAAAAGATAAAATTTAATTTAAAAGAGGATTACAATAGATTTAAAATGAGTCAAAAGGAGCTCAAAGGATAAAAGGATAGATTTTAACCTCACTGCATCTGCAACAATTCACTTTCCAAGGCATTCTGCAGGACATAGCAAAGCCATTCACATTCCTGGTCTAGGGTGAGAGTGTTTTTCTTCAATTTTTTTTGTTATTAAATACTTTTATTGGAGGCTCTTATATTTCTTATCACGATAGCCATCCATTGTGTCAAGCACATTTATACATGTTGCTATCATTTTCAAAGCATTTTCTTTCTACTTGAGTCCTTGGTATCAGCTCACTACCCCCCTCCCCAGCCCTTTCTCCCTCATGAACCTTTGATAAGTTGTAGATTTTCATATATTACATCATACTCTGTCAACCTTCACCTACTTTTCTCTTTTTCTTCATTTTAAAGACTGAAAGTAAGTTAACATGGGTCAAAGGGGACATCAAATGTAAAATCAGATTTGTCTTGTTATCAATGTATATACACACAGGATGCATCTGTCAGGCTTTCCCAGGCTCTGTATTCATAAAATTTTCTGCAGGGTACACTCTGTATCCTGCACTCATACAATGAGGCAGACATTTGGTTCAGCCCTCCTGTCTTATTAGTGCATCAGAGCTTATCCTATGAGCTTTGTGGAACATCAAATAAAGCATAATTCAATAGCAGAGTCATTAAATGCATACGCACTGCCACATTCACAGTATTCATATGGTTTCTCTGCTGTACAAATCCTATCGTCACATGACTCCTTTCTGGTTAAAGGCCGACCCACCAGAACTACATTATTCAGGATTCCACTGGTGTTTACTGAACATGAGAGAAGCCACAGAAGGCATATGGAAAATCACTATATTGCCAGGGCTTTCCTTCTGCATGAAATCACTGACCCGTCCGTATGTAGTGACAATGACTCCCTGGGGCGAGCTTTCCCAACTTGACTGAATTTAAAACTTTTTCATTTTTGTGTGTGCATGTCAAGAAAAACTTAGAAACACAAGTAAAACTCACAATAGCTACATGGTAACTGTCCCATATGTACCATATAAGCCGAGGCACCTAACTTTACCACAAAAAACTGGGGGGCTTTTTCTGCATAAAAAATGTGCTGAAAAAACTCAACATATACTCGAGTATATAAGGTAATCATTGATGAGACATGAGCTCTTCTTTTCACAAATTTATTGATTTAAAATGTTACGGTAAACTGGTTTTCCATTCAACAATTCATACATTGATTGCAATCCCTGAGATCTACCAGCACTCTTCCCACTTCTGCCCTCCCTGTGTTTTCATTATCCATCCTTCCTTCCAGTCCCTTCTTGCTTTCAAGAGTTTTTATCCACTAGCAAATGCTGTCCTTTTGATTTTATGTGCTTGGTTATTCTGAGGTGTGTGTACTGCTTGGATGTTATTCATCCCCACCAAGCCTGTATATCTTTTGGCTGAAAGCTGAATCAGAGGGGAGAGTATAGTTCCGGGAGTGAAGAGTTGCTAAGGGCAGAGTCAGGATTCCACGTATCCATCAGACCAGTAAGCCTAGTCTATTTTATGATTGGATTTTGTTCCACTTTGTGCTCCCACTCTACTCAGGCCAGTCTTTTGTGACCCCTTTCAGAGTAATTAGCAGTGGCAGCCTGGCACCATCCAGTTCTTCTCGTCTCACGGTTGTGGAGGCTGAGGTTTGCTGTGGTCCATTCATCATCTGGACTAAATGTTCCCAAACGTCTTCTATTTTCTTCATTCTTGTTTATTTTGAGCAGTCTCTGGAGGGTAACAAAGAACATGCAGGTGGGGCAGGCACTACTGGCACCTGAGGGGACAATCTACTGCTTGGTATAGCTGTGATCCAGAAACACCAGGTCCAGCTCTCTTTTGGGCACTGAAAACTGGAAGAGCAATGAGGTGTCCTTGCACCATGGGAAGGTCTGGACGTCCCTCTCCCCACACCAGTGGACATGTCAGTAGAGGGACAGCAATTCAGAGCATGGGTAGGCACATGATAAGTTACAATCGTCTGGTCTGGGAAAGCCTGGCCAAACCCTAGTGCCTCTTTTATTGAAAGTTTTGTTATACTCACCCCATTGAAAGGTTTTCTCATTAAGAATTTTCTCATGTTGAACAATACTTGACTTTCAGATAAGATTTTCCACATTTAATTCAAGCAAAGGGAGTCTTTCCTGTGTGTAATGTCTGATGTGCTGTGAAGCATTGTTTCTGGCTTAAAGCTTTACCACACTCACCACATACATGTTTTTCTCCAGTATGAGTGTGTAGATGAGTTTTGAGATGTGAAGTCTGAATGTAGCCTTTGCCACATTCACCCCATACATGGGGTTTCTCTCAAGTATGAGTTCGCTGATGAACAGTCAGTGCATTCTTCCTGATAAAGGCTTTCCCACACTCACCACATACATGGGGTTTCATTCCTGTGTGAAATGTCTGATGTGCTGTAAGGGATTGCTTCCAGCTGAAAGCTTTACCACACTCACCGCATACATAAGGTTTCTCCCCAGTATGAGTTCGCTGATGAACAGTGAGGTCCTTCTTCCAGATAAAGATTTTCCCACATTCACCACATACATGGAGTTTATCCCCAGTATGAGTTCGCTGATGAACAGTGAGAACATACTTCCTGATAAAGGCTTTTCCACATTCACCACATACATGGGGTTTCTTTCCTGTGTGAAATGTCTGATGACTTAAAAGGGATCGCTTCGAGCTGAAAGCTTTTCCACACTCACCACATACATGAGGTTTTTCTCCAGTATGAGTTCGCTGATGAACAGCGAGAGCAGTCTTCCTGATAAAGGCTTTTCCACATTCATCACATACATGGGGTTTATCCCCAGTATGAATTCGCTGATGAACAGCGAGAGCCTGCCTCCAGTTAAAGGCTTTTCCACACTCACTGCATACATAAGGTTTTTCTCCAGTATGAATTCGCTGATGAGCTATGAGTTCATCCTTCCTGATAAAGGCTTTTCCACAGTCACCACATACATGGGGTTTATTCCCAGTATGAGTTCGCTGATGATCAGTGAGAACAGTCTTCCTCATAAAAGCTTTTCCACATTCACCACATACATGGGGCTTCTTTCCTGAGTGAAATGTCTGATGTGCTGTAAGGGATCGCTTCCAGCTGAAAGCTTTACCACAGTCACTGCATACATAAGGTTTCTCTCCAGTATGAGTTCGCTGATGAACAGTGAGAGCATGCTTCCTGGTAAAGGCTTTTCCACATTCACCACATACATAGGATTTCTCCCCAGTAAGAGTTCGCGGAAGAGCAGTGAGATCGCTGTTCCTAGTGAAGCCTTTCCCACATTCACTGCATACACAGGGCATCCCTGCTGCATGAGTTTTCTGATGTTCGTGGAGATATGATTTACTGTGATAAGCTTTACCACATTCCAAGCATGTATATTGTTTTTGACCTTTATGAGCTGTTCGATAATGTGCAGTGAGTTTGAATACTCTGTCGAATTCTTGCCCACACTGTCTGCATTCATAGGTCTTATCTAGTACATGAATGATCTGATGGTCACAGAGGAAAGACTCCTTGATGAAGGGCTTCCCACATTTATCACCTTTGCCTGGTTTTTTAAATTTGTCAGATTCCTGACCCTGAATGCATTGTGACTTCATGCTACTGGACTTTTCACACGTAGAGAATTTCATTTCAGTACAAAATTGGTCTTCTTCAACATTCAAAAAAGTTTTCTCATCTCCAATGAGCACAATTGACTTCTTTATCTTGCTACTATTTTTTTTACTTAATACTGGAATAATTAAATCGGGTTTTACTATTTTTTCATTTATTCCAAATATCTCATAATTTTCCTTTAGAGGAAAATTGTTTTTGCGCTGATGAAGAATATTTTCCAATGTATTGAATTTATAGAATTGCTCAGATCTGTCCATGCTCCTTTCATGTTGCAACTGATGGAGCAAATGATCATCAACTTTCAGGATCTCTACAAAAGAACAGAACATTGAAACTTTTCGTTTTGATTTGCAATGGGCCCCTGAAAACACGCATTGATACAAGGTAGACCTTTAGTGACAATCCTCATTGGAAAGCAATTAAAATAATATGCTTAATATTTCCTGCCCAGTGGTATAAATAAAATTCTATAACTAGTACAAATGGTAAAAGCAAATACTGTAGAAACCATATTGAACGTGAAAATAAAGAATGAATGCAGATTTGGTAGTTGCTTAAATAGTACCATGAAAGTATACTAAGAATGTATATACACGGAAGACTGAGACCCATAGGCCACAGGGGTGGAAAGTCTGGCTAATTTCAATTGCTAGAGGTCAGATGAATTCATTCCATCAATCTTTACTGAAAGACAACTCAGTACTACACAAAGTTGGGAAAATGAAAAATGCAGAACGTTCTACTTGGGTGAAAACAATTTTCACAGGTATATAGGAAAGGCATTATGGTACACAAACATATTCCTTATATTTATGGAGCCTGTATTCTAGCTCAAACCACTCATCTTCCAGCATTGTCCTGCGGTGGCTTGCATGTTGCTGTGGTTCCGGAAGCAATGCCAACCAGTATTTCAAATACAAGCAGGATCCCCCCTTGGAGCCAGGGATTAGTGGAATTTCCAGAAATTCAGACGGGGAGGAGAACCAGGTGATCTACGTTTGGAACGTGAGCCCCTCAGGTTTAATAGCTCTGAAACAACTGATGAAGTACTAACTTCTCAAACTACAGTCAACAGTAATGATGTGAATGCAGTAAAGCTTTGGGGACCTTCAGTGGGTGACACGGCATGACTGAAAATGAGAAAAAATAGCTGCAAACATACACTAATAATTGAAAGACAGAATATATGAGGTATTATCAAGAAAAAATACAAGTTGTCAAAAAAGAGAAACATTTAAGGGTTGATAGCGTAAGTATTATTAACTTTTAATAGACCGGTACTAGCTATTTTTAATTAGATCAGTGGTTCTCAACCATCCTAATGCCATAACCCTTTAATACAGTTCCTCATGTTGTGGTGACCCCCAAAACATAGTTATTTTCGTTGCTACTTCATAACTGTAATTTTGCTACTGTTATGAATTGGGCGACCCCCAAAGGGTCGCAACCCCCAAAGGGTCGCAATCCACAGGTTGAGAACTGCTTAATTAGATAATCAAGTGGCTTATAAGACTCAGATTTACAAATTCAAGAATAGTGTCATATTCAACATCAAAATGTACATTGCAAGATCTTTCCTGAAATACAATTCTGTCAGTGGTAGGTTATGTTCACATGCCTGCAAGTAAGACCAGTTACTACAAATGTTATTTAAATTTTTCCAACACCTGTTAAAGCAAACAGAAAGTGTGGGATCCCCATCCCCACTGTTGAACAGGTCTTTAGGAGCAGCGTGTGCAATTAAGGAAGATAAAGCAAACAGCAAGACAGGGGACAAGGGCCTCATCTGCAATGATGATTAAGAGATCGAGGTCATTTAACAGTGAGTTTATATTGTATTGCGGTGGGCAAGCCTCCAGCAGACACATACCAACAGAATGGGCACAGTGTGAAGCTGGGATAGCCTGATTCTTTTAGCGCAGGGTGTCAAACTGGAGGCCCGCGGGCCGCTTGCGGCCCCTGAGGTAATTTTTTGTGCTCCACGATGCTCTGAAATAAAATGTAACGAGGGAATTGTGTGTATGGTATTGCCTTGCTCTCCCCTAAGCGCTATTTTCTTCATAACAATTTTTTCTATTTTCATTTTATTTCAGAGCATCATGGGCCACAAAAAATTACCTAGGGGGCTGTATGCGGCCCGTGAGCTGCCAGTTTGACACGCCTGTTTTAGGGTAACACTTCATGATAAGTATCAGGCTGTGAGAAACTGAAGACCAGGAGAGAGCGCATGCAGACAAATTTTCTACTGTCAGGAGTAACGAAGCCTGAAAGGCCAGGATTCAAGGTGGAGGGAAGCCTTCACATTTGTGGGTTGGAGAAGAGTCTAAGTTACACTGTCTTAATTAAAAATCATGCCAATCACCTCCACAATATCCTCTCATTACAGAGATATCTTAATGGTACCTCATAGAAGCACAAAGTTAATTATTATCTGCCACCAGCTTTATCTATAGCAGTGGTTCTCAACCTTCCTAATGCCGCGACCCTTTAAAACAGTTCCTCATGTTGTGGTGACGCCCCAACCATAAATTATTTTTGTTGCTACTTCAAGGGTCATTCAACCGCCGAAGGGGTCACAACCCACAGGTTGAGAATCATTCATCTATAGGAACAGACATGTTATTATTGTTCACCCTGCTCAGGGGAAAGTCACCAGTACTCAGCACTGATGCAAAGTTACTCAACCAATGAGCTCAGGGACCTCCAGGGTAAAGATACAGACCACTATGTTAGGTGGGTGAGTAGGGGTGTGTGTGTGTGTGTGTGTGTGTGTGTGTGTGTGTGTGTGTGTGTGTGTGTGTGTGTGTGTGTGTGTGTGTGTGTGTGTTGTACACCTCAAGACTATATAAGTTGGTGACAGCATTCTCTCTCTATCCTGCTCAGACCTGGCTTCAGACCTGACTGTACCCACTAAGCCAGGTCCAGAGAATGCAGTGAGGATCTTCCTCTTTCAGAACACCAAAGACAATGCAAATGTTTGCATGCATAAGATAGGAATTCTCCTCACCGATGGACACCAGGTTGCGATAGTTCTCCAACATCACATCCTGATATAGAGTCTTCTGAGCAGGGTTCAGGAGCTGCCATTCCTCCCAGGTGAACTTTACCGCAACATCGCTGAATGTCAGTGATTCCTGTAGTAAGAGGAACTTATTTAATGAAGTATCCTCCATTTGAAGGTTTTAAAAAATGTATCTTATAGTAAAGAAAGCAAAACAGTAATAAAAACTATTCTGTGCTAGTGCATTTCCTGATGTGTGGTAACCTGAGGACCTGGTAGAAAGTATTTGACCTTATTTCTACATTTCAACCACAGCATGGAAGACAAGCCCTATTTAGAGAAAGATCTCCATTGATCTGAGATGGGAATGTTTTCAAATACATGTTCCCCAGGCTAAATAATGTGCCCCCGCAACAGCACGCCATTAAGGAGCAGCCTTAAAGGGCAACCATAGTAAATGAATCATTTCTGGGTCTAGCTACTTCACTATGCCTGAAGGTTATTTGTAGATTAGAGCATTCAGGTAATATAGCCAGCTGACCATACTTGTAGTAAGCCCCTGGGCAGGGTTCGGAGTGGGGATTAGGGGTTTGAAGTCAACTAGTACTAAGTCAAGATGGTGACTCACCTCCTTGCTTGTTTATTATGGTACCTGCTTATGATAGTATCCATTGTCTATGTATATGTTAACTGTATGACATGCATGTCTTATGAAAGTACCCATTATATATACGTAGTATATATACATATGATATATTCAATATATGTGTATATTGAAAAATACATTCACTCTCTTAGGCCTGACATAGGACCAGGTTCCCCTGTGCACTGCTATCTGTCAGTGGCTCTTTAATATTTTCCACAATCAAAAAGTCACTCCCGAGGACCGTTTTGAGTGTTGGGGACACCCATGCCCCAACAATAATGTACCCACTCATAAAATCAGAATTGTGAGTAGCAGTGAAATTATCCAAATGGGCTAGAAATAGCTCAGACTTCCACACAGTAGATAAGGAACAAGTTCACAGTACATTGTGAAATGGAATGAGGAGTCCCAGCAGTGTCACCTTTATGCGAGACTATGTGCCTTCAGTGGCCATAGGTATCAGGCTCAGTTCAGAGGTGGAAGGTCAAACATACCTCAGCTCTCCAACATTTTTTGTCAATTCTTACACAAGTCATTCCTCCCACACCACTCTTCATATCTCTTCTAGATTTAATAATCCATTGTTAAGGCCACACAAAACTTATAGATGAAAGTGGTTTATTAATGAGCAAGGTACAACTCAGGATGGGAACAAGAAGCAACAACCAGGACCAAGATCAGAAAGCTCCTAGGCAAAATCTTCCTTCTGAGTGCAGAACAACTTTCTAGGCTCTTAGAGGCCACCTTAGGAAAAGCACCTCTTGTCTACTTTAGGACAAATTGTTCTCCGCCACCTTCGGACAGTTTTGTAACTTTAATTGCAAAGTCCTCTTGGACCTGCCATCTTTCATCACATGCCCTCCAATGGGCCCTTCCTAGTTTCCATTGGCTCGACCTCTGGAGCCCCCTAATCTTGCCTAGGCAGGGAAGGTGCTAGGTTGGCCCAAGAAGCCATCGTGGAGAGAGAGAGAGAGAGAGAGAGAGAGAGAGAGAGAACTGTCTGCAGGCATGGCTGAGAAGAAACAATGAGACATTGGTCTGTCTTCTGACCTGTTGATTTGGTATTGATAGCCCCTGAAGTCATATAGTTCAGAATGAACCCATGGATTGGGGAGTCCCCAGCTTCCAGAAACTCAGGAGGCATGTCCTTGACATCCCTGCAACTGGGAGCCCCCTGTGTGACCTGATTTGAGAGCTTCCTCCACTCCATGAGCCAACAGCCTACAGTGTGACCTTTCAATGGGGGTCCCTCAGGCCCTGCAACCTATTATCTAACCAGATTCAACAACTTCACCTTGTGAGGCAGTGAACTGACCTCATGATCTGGTTCATCAGCCCTTGCAAACACATAAATGAGAACCCTCCAGACTAATACCTGACCTATGGATCTGGGACTCACCGGTTTTCATATACTGAAGACTTATTTCCTTGATAGCTATGTAGATTTGTGAGATACTGCAGAGCAAATCGTGGAACATCTTCAACCTCTACCTCACAGGGACTGGTCCAAATGAACTGTAATATTCATGAGTAGGAGCTGTACCAACGGAGATAATGACTAGGGCAGAAAAGACAGTCACCGAGCCAATGGTGACGGATCCAGAAAGGGCTTTTAAGCCAAGATAGTGAGACAGGCAGGCAAGATCAAGAGGAGGATTATCTCCTAGGAGCTGAGAGGAATCTACAGATATGGAACGAAGAAATGAGCCTACCTTCAAGAGGGACAAAATGTCTGAGTGGAACAGAGAACAGGCCTTCCCTGAAGAAGGGCAAATGTGCCTACATGGTTCTTTAATGGGAATCCCAATGTGTAGCCTATTAATTCTAATAACAAATTACACTCTGTTACTGAATAAAACTTGTACCTGTGACTCTGCACTGTAATTTCTACATGGCCACTGCAAAAACTTAATGAGCTGAGTAGGAGGGGGCTGTGGGAAGAGAATTGGTGTCAGAACTGGAAAACTATTGAAGGGTATAGATATATTTAGGCTCTGCCTCATATGAATCAGGGCTGAGGCTGATGGTTGATTCTCCCCTACATCTATAGTTAGAGGAAGTGAGAAGCAGTCTACCATTTATAAACTACTATTGCTGCAAAGCCCATTTTAGATGCATGAATGAGAATGCTGCCATTTGGGAGAATATGTAACACATCACCTTTAGAAATAAGCATTAAAGAGACTTACTCCGACACAAATCCCATGAAATACTGAACTCTCCTTCTTGAACTAGGCATAGTATATCATTTGAATGATTCTCATGGCTTGCCCATAGAATAATGAATTGTGTGTTGGAAGATAATTTCATCCAAAGAATCCTCAGGGATATATTATATTCAATGTCAATAGTTTAGATTTAATCTTATGATCAATATATTCCTAATCTTCTCCAGCCAATGTTGCAGTCAGAGTCAAAATTTATTTCTAACTTCTACTATTTTAAATGTCCATTTTTCCAATGAACTGCATCAGTATTATACAGGCTTCTACAATTCCAGTAGGAAATACAGAAAAGGATAAAACACATCAGAATCACCTGAGCCTTGGTCATTTTCTTTGGTCCTTAGGACACTGCCGGCAACTGTCATGCTCTATTTTTGTCCTCCCTGGATCAGCTGTAATGATGTTTACATATTTCAATCTCTCTTGAGGACATCCCAGAAATAATAATTCCCAAACCAGGCATTTCTTCCTCCTTCCTCTAAGCTGCTGGTGATGAACAATCTGCAGGCTGATGAGAGAATACAATGTGAGTAATACATAACCTACATGTAGGTCCAGATGCTGTTACTGTTCTGTCCCTCTTCTCAACACAAAGTCCCCAACACTGTTAACAATATGCTTGTTGATGACGGAAAACATGCTTATACCATGAGCACTAAAGTCTAAAACTCCTAATTTTCAGACATGCAAGTAAAAGATGACTTTATTATAAATAGAGATTAGACAAAAAGAAGAAACAAAAAAGCTGGATCCCTACCTCACAGCATACAGAACTATCAATTCCTTACTGTGTGACTCTGGAGAATGGCAAATCAATTGACCTTGAAGTTGAGTATGTTAATTAAAGCAGCTGCACACATTTTAAATGCCCTATTTAAAGAGCTATTATAAACTGAAGATTATTTTCTAGAGGAACCATAAATTGTTCAATCACTTTAGAAACACTTTAAAACTCACCATCGAGTAGAGTTAGACATATAAGCAGCCAATAGGAAACAGAATAGAGTTCATGAGACTATAAAGCCATGACAGGAAGCTAATGAGTTTGTACATCTGACCTTAAGATTAGCAGTTCAACTCTCAACACAGGTCAAAAACAGGGCTCCATGATAAGCACTATTAGGTTGAAATTTATATATATATTTGGATATGAAGTAGTAAGTATACATAACGCCCCCACAGTGAGTGCACTTTTGAACCCCAAGACAAATAACCTTTTTTTTTTATTGAATCACTTTATTGGGGGTTCTTACAGCTCTTAACATAATCCATCCATCGTGTCAAGCACATTTGCATTTCTGTAGAGGAGAGTACAAAAAATGTTGGGAAGCAGCCCAATAGGCCTGACTCCTAAGGAAGCGCTATTGTCAGTGTCTGAATATATGCTTTCATTTCTGCTTTGTTTTCCCCTCCTGCTCCCAAGTTCCTTTACCCTAGACAGATGTAGGGAAATAAGGAAAAAGTTGTACCCCACTATTTTGCAAATCTAAATGCAGATAGCATTGCAAAAGAGAAATGGGGACTCTGCTACCTTTAGACAAGCAGAAGTCATTGTCTAGCGGTGTATACAGATCACAGCGTAACGTTTATTTAATAAAAGCAGTCCCTGAAAAAAAAAAAATTTTCTACTGGAGCCCTTGATATCAGCTCCTCATTGTTTCCCTAGCTCCTGCACCCTTTCCCCCACCCCCACATGAACCCTTGATAAATTATAAATTATTACTGTTTTCATATCTTACATCTTCCACTGTCTCCCTTCAATGACTTTTCTATTGTTTACCATCCCCCAGGGGGGATGGGGAGGTATGTCAAACATTGTGATCAATTCCCCCTTTCTCCCCACACCTTCCCCTTCCCCTCCTGGTATTTCTATTTTTATTTTTGGTTCTGAGGGTGTTTATCAATCCAGGATTCCTTGTGTTGCGGGCTTTGGCTGTAGCAGTGTACATGTTCTGCTCTAGTCAGATTTGTAATACAGAATTGAGGTTACGATAGAGGGGATATGGGAGGAAAAATTAAAGAACTAGAGGAAAGTTGTACGTTTCAACGGTGCTATACTGCACCCTGACTGGCTCGTCACTTCCTGTGACGCTTCTGTATGGGGATGTCTAATTATCTACAGATGGGCTTTGGGTCTCCACTTCGTACTCCCCCTCATTCACATTGATATGATTTTTTGTTCTCAGTCTTTGATGCCTGATACCTGATCCCATTGACACATCATGATCACACAGGCTGGTGTGCTTCTTCCAAGTGGGCTTTGGTGCTTTTCAGCTAGATGGCCGCTTGTTTATCTTCAAGTCTTTAAGACCCCAGATGCTATATCTTTTGATAGCCGGGCACCATCAGCTTTCTTCACATTTATTTATGCATCCATTTTGCCTTCAGCGATCTTGGTGAGCATCTTGGAATGCTGGATTATTAGAACAAAGGGTTCTTGTGCTGAGGGAGTAGTTGAGTTGAGGCCCAATGTCCATCTGCTACCTTAATACTTAACCTATAAATATATGAACATAGATCTATTTCTCCATCCTCATAAATATATTTACATATGTACATGCCTGTATTTAGACCTCTATAAATGTCCTTTGCCTCCTAGTTCTTTCCTCTATTTCTTTTTACTTCCCTCTTGTCCCACTATCATCTTCGGCCTTTATTCAGTTTTCAGTAATTCCTCGTGGTCACATTGCCCTTGATTAAGCCCCACTAGGCATCCTGTACCCTCTCCATCAATTTTAGTTCACTTGTTTCCCTTTTCCTTGGGTTGGTTGACACCCCCCATCCTTTCTCCCACCACCTCCTCTCCCATGTCCCCCCCAAAACATCGGTCCTATTATTTTCTCCTCCGAATTGTTTATCCCGTCTATTTTATCTAGATTGACTTGCAGAGTCAATAATAAGTACAAAAAGAAGACGAAGCCAAACAGGCCAACGAAGGAAGACCCACACAGAGCTCAGTGTTTGGTTTGAGGCTAAGGGGCGGGGCGCGCATTTAATCACAGAACGAAAAAACCTTTGTAAAATTTGCCAATTCAGGACAGAAGCTACGGGCTGCAGGGCCTGACCTTACCTGCAGATATGGCTGTCAAGATGCTGTTCCAAAAAACTGTACGTTGAGTCATTTGTGATCCTAAATTCTGTTTGGGTACAAAAGTGACCCCTATGTCAAATATAATTTAAGGAGAAAATTTATTGAACTTTAAGAGACAACAAAAGACACACACCCACACATCATATATTTAAGGGCCATCAGCACGAGATCCAAATAACAACTTAGGATTCGCAATCAGGACCATGGATAAATAGGGCATAGAACAAAAGGCATGTCACAGATCACAATTGGTAGCAGAGCTATACACCACAGATACAAGTGGGACTGCAGCAGCAGGAATGGGACCATGATTAGGACATGCATATTATTACATAGAAGGACTTACACGATTGGTCCAGGGCCTTCACACAAAGCCAATCAAGGCAAAACTCATAACAATGACCCCTGTTCTGTCCTCAGTAAGGTAACCTCCATCAAGGGTACACCTAGGTAGGCCCATGGAGAGGGGCTAGGTGGAAAGGCAATCTACTTCTACGGTATTCTCTCTGAAAGGAAGGTGATCTACAGTCTTGGTTAAGGACCAGAAGGAATTCAATGGAGGCTTAATCAAAGTGGGGATGCAGCAAATGGACAATGAGTTGTCACTGTCAGCACCCAAACCTAAAACCCAACTCACTGCGATCTAGAGGAATCTGATTACAGTGACACTTTAGGAAATGGTAGAACTGCCCCGTGTGGGTTTCCAAGACTGTAATTCTTTATAAGAGTAGAAACTGTCTTCCTCCTGAGCTGTGACTTGGAATCTTGAACTGCTGACCTTGCAGTTCAATCTGTAACCGGTTCCTAAGTCACCAGCCTTTTATAAATCGGAGTGCTCAGAATTTAAGTTCCAACACAATTATAAACAGCTAGTTACTCAGTGAATTCTATCATTCAGAGAGATGCGCAAAGACCAGGGACCCTGACAGGCAGGACAGCCCAGGGCCATCTGCTTCCTCTGAAGCTCCTCCGCCCAGCCCTGTCCCCAGGAACCCCAGTGTTGCTCACCCTGTTAAGAGTCAGGTGAATGGATTTGGTTCACAACCCAGTCAGAAGTTGAAATCCTTCCTTGTGATGCTGAGCTCCCTAGACTGGACTGTATTTCTGTAGCGAATTTTTGTTCTGAAATAGAAGAGGAGACGATGTTGCGAAAGGCATGTCCTTCTTGCACTAAAGAGTGGCAACCCCTACCCCTAGCATCAAAACCATGTTCAAATCTAAGAGCGCTTGCATTAAACACAGAGCCCACTCTATCTTTCCAGAGAAATTGTACTAATTTCTCAACTATCATTATCAACTTTAGATTCACTTCCTATATACGAAATATTTATTTTTAGAATAAAATAGAAGCATCTAAGGTCTCAAAATTCTCAAGCTCCAGTGAAGGTAAGTATCTTTTCACCAGAAATCTAACTGAAAGAAATATTTTATGAAGAACATTCTTTATAGGCCCATAATGCAACTCAGAACATAACCCTCCACATATTTGGCATTGTGATCAAGCTGAATCATGCTCATATGACACTCTAACCCAGTCTGAGCTTTTCATCAAGTTTAACCTGCTCGATTCTCCTTGCATCCTGTGTATTCTTTACAATATCTATTGTATGTGAAGAAATGCCTATGGTTGGGTGGCCCAATGGAGTGTGGAATGAACAATGGAGTGTGAAAACTAGAGAACCTTGTTGCAGAGGTAGACAACAAGAGACAGAAGGACAGCAAAAGGACATCCTAAGAGGTACCTTGGCCAAGACAAGAACTAGGAGGCAAAGGGCATTTATAGAGGTCTAAATAAAGGCATGTACATATGTAAATATATATATGAGGACATGGAAATAGATCTATATGCATATATGTATAGTACTCCCTCATTGCAAGAATACTTTGTTCTATTAAATTGGCATTCTATGATGCTCACTTTCCTGACACAATCACTGAAGACAAAGCAGGTGCATAAACAAATGTGGTGCAGAAAGCTGATGGTGCCCAGCTATCAAAAGATACAGCATATGGGGTCTTAAAGGCTTGAAGGTAAATAAGCGGCCATCTAGCTCAGAAGCAACAAAGCCCACATGGAAGAAGTACACCAGCCTGCACGATCACGAGGTGTCGAAGGGATCAGGTATCAGGCATCATTAGAACAAAAAATCATATGTAATGAGTGGGGGAGTGTCGAGTGGAGACCCAAAGCCCATTTGTAGGCCACTGGACATCCCCTTACAGAAGGGTCTCGGGGAGGAGATGAGCCAGTCAGAGTGCTATGTGGCAACGATGAAA